CACACACACACACACACACACACACACACACACACACACACACACACACACACACACACACACACACCAAATATTTCACTTCTTTTCTCCAGGACCTTTAACCCAGTGGTTGGCGGTTTAGCTGAGCGTCAGTAGCCAGGATTTGGATCACAAGCAGTTTCTGAAGGTAACTTTTCTTCATCTTCTCTCACCTTGTTTTGTAAACAAACTTGTTTTCTTTTCAATTCTTTGCACCAAACTTACGAACTCATTTTCATTATGAAAAGAACAAACAATATAGAGGTATAGGGAAAAAAATACAAGCTCTCCATTTTCCTCCCTCTTTCCCACCCACAATTCCACCTTCCTTCCTGGATGTCACCAATGTCTAGGTTGACGTTTATCCTTTCAGATTACATATGTATATGCACATATATGTATGTCTGTTATTTAGACATGGCAATTCAGAGTGTGAAGCCGTCTGACCACAGCTGATCCACACGAGGGCACTCTCTGGCATTCTGAATGGGCCCACCAGCTCTTGCAGCTACTTCTCCTCAGCTCCATTTGGAGGGATTTCCAACCAAAAGCCAGAAAGAGGCAATCCACTTTTCTTTCCTGCAGGGTCCTTTTGCATCTACCTCCAGCCCAAGCCTTGGTATTCCCATCTGACCTATGGTAACTGGAGAAGCAAAGTCTTTTCTATAAAACAATAGTAACAACTAACACATATTGAAGACTTATTAGTGCTAATTGTTTTATATACATGCATGATATTTTATTCTCACACCAATCCTTAATGCTGTTGTTATATCCCCATTCTATGGATGAGGAAAGTGAGGTTTGGAGAAGTTAATTTGCCCAAACCACACATACTTAGAAGCCAGGACTCAATATAATTCTGTCTGACTTGAAAGTTTGTCTTAACTTTAACACTGTATTGCTGCCTCAGGGCCACCTCTTCTGCGTCAGGTAATCAATGTTACATTCCATTTACAGGTCCAAACTCAGTTCTCCCATTTTGAATGCCCAATCAGTGCCGTTCCTTTATGACTATATCCTTTCAAACATCCTCATTTTTTATTTGCTTTGGGTTTATCATTGCAGCTGCTACCAGTGAGATTGCCTCCTTCGTTAGAATATAACCTAGTCTAGTCCTTCATTTGAAATTCTGATTTCTTCTAAGATACTTACTTGAATAAACACTTTTAAGTTTCAGGATCCAAATATGTTTCTGTCTGCCTGCCCATTTATTTACATGCTCTGTGGGAGCAGGAACTGAATTTTATTTATTTTCATGTCCTTGTGGCATAATAGCCCCTCAGTAAATGTTGATTAAATGAATCTTCCGATGCCTCTGGCCAGTTTTTGAGCAGGCTCACTCAGATGTTTGAAGATAATTGCAGTGGCTAGTTAAGAAAGACTGAACTACAAAGAGAAAAAAAGAGAAAGAAAGGCTGATTTAGAAAAAAACGTTCAATGTCAGTCTGAACAGCCAGAATAGAGCTGCTAGACACAACGTTAATTATATCCGGTCCAAAGCAGTGTACCTCAAGGATCTTCTTACACCAATACTGCAGAGCCAAGGTTGGGCAGCTCAAGCAATGAAATAGAACTCCTTCCAGAAAACCTCAGGGCATGTATACTGACCTTGAACCTTATATGTTCCTTCAATGAACTTTACCAGAACATGAGAGTTTAAAACTGCTTAATACAATTTAATGTATTATTCTACATTGTAAGATATGAAAAGAGTACATCCATGGATTATGTATGTATGTATAAAAATAAGAAAATAAAACTCAGTATCATTTAAAAAATGAGTCCTGGCTAAATAGCAATGCAATGGTTAATATTATAAAGTGCAAACAGGAACGAATTGTACAATGACATGGAGATTCCATTTCTACTTTGAGATTTCTCTTTTAAATATGCTATAGATGTTAACTATTACCATTAAATGGTTTAATCTTACATAACCAAGTGGATAAGAAAGTGGACTCTAATCTCAGCTCCCCAGTTATCTATGTAATCCTGAGCAAGTCTTATCCCTTCTCTCCATTTTTCTCATCTGCAAAACAGACATAATAATATTCCCTACTCCTGATAGCTGTATTATATGAGTTAATATTTGTGAAACTTTTTACAACCATACCTAGCACATTATAAGTATTATACAAGATCAGTAGGGAAGTTGAAAAAAAAACTAAACACTTCACATGTTTTGTTTGTTTTTTTCATAGTGGAGAAAAAAAGCCAGCTCTCTCCCCTTCTTGGTTGCTCCAACTGTAACTAGAATGCCACAGTCCCAGCATCAAGAGAGTTATGTGCTCATTCAGTCAGTAATTTGAGGGCCTACTATGTACTGACACTGACTATGGATCAGACACAGCCCGTGCCCTAAGAGGGCTTATAGTTGGGGCAGAGATCAGAACTCTTAACTCCCTTTTTTTACATATTAGAAAACTAGAGGGCCAGAGAAGTTGTGCCTTGCTCAAGGTCACAATAAATAGCACAAGGGGCAAGACTTGAACTATGTCTTCCCACAACTCTTAGTTCAGAATTCTTGTCAGTGGGCCACCCACCCTTTTGAGCGCCGCCACATCTCAGCTTCTATATGAGACTCTACCTAGCTTTTATAACCTTCCCTTATTTGCACCCACTGCCAACCCCCTCCCACACCTGGAGCATAGGGTTTACAAAAGAAAACGGTAAGCCCTGAAAAGAAACGCAGGGCTTTTTGAACCTTCCCCTGCAGGAAAAGGAAAGGCTACTATTTTCTCCCTGTGTTAAACTCTTCCAGCGCCTGAAAGGCAGAGGCCTTTTTAAAATGGGGCGGGGGGATGGCTGAGTGGTCTCACTCAGGTCCGAAAGGGTGGAGTCCCCGCCCCCTGGTGCAGCAGCAGCGAAGACAGATGGGGAGCCATCTGTCAGACGGCTGTGGGCGGGGTCCGGGGCCGCGAGACCGCGGGACCGGAGGGTGAGCTCCGCTGAGCGCACGCTCAGAGCAGACAGCTCGCTAAAGGCAAAGGCAGGAGGTGATGGTGTAAGACCGGGGAGCTGACTGCCAGAGGGAAGGACAGGTAGTCAAGGAGGCAAGGGGAGAGCTACGGGAAGTGGAGGATCGTGGAGGTGACAGCAAGGAGAATACGCAGCCGCGAAGGGCGGCTGAAGCAGGCCCGGCGGCTTCAGCACAGACGCCGGGCGAGCGGGAAAGAGGAAGGGAGGGCAACGGGCCGGCGCAGGGCGGCGGGGTACAATGTCCCGCGAGCGGCACCCCCTCATGGATATACCCCGCAACCTGAGCTTTATCGCCGCGCTGACAGAGCGCGCCTACTACCGCAGCCAGCGGCCCAGCCTAGAGGAGGAGCCAGAGGAGGAGCTAGGCGAGGGCGGGGCGCGCCTCGGGGCTCGGTCCCGCGCTCACGCTCGGAGTCGCGGCCGCCGGGCCCTCTCCGCGCCCGCCGGAGGCGGCGGGGTACGGGCGCCCCGTAGCCGCAGCCCCGATACTCGCAAGAGAGTGCGTTTTGCCGACGCGCTCGGGCTGGAGCTGGCCGCCGTGCGCCGCTTCCGCCCTGGAGAGCTGCCCCGGGTGCCCCGGCACGTGCAGATCCAGCTGCAGAGGGATGCCCTCCGACACTTCGCGCCGTGCCAGCCCCGCGCCCGGGCCGTCCAGGTAGGCGGTAGAGGCAAGCCCCTTTTCCGGGAGCTCCCTGACTGGCGGCGGCGGGCTGTGGCAGTGGATTTACGAAGGAACACCCTCCTCCATCTACAACCCCGGCCTTGCTCTTGCTGATACTCTTCGGAACCCTGTTGGGTGCGTGGCCATAGGCCACTCTATTAGCTGGGAAACCAGGGTCGGCCTCTGATTGGTCCAGTGCCTCGCCCTGACCCCGCCCCCTGCTCGCTCCCTTCGCCCGAGCTCTCTCTCTGCTCCATCTCTTCCCCCACAGGAGGCGCGCACCGCCCTGGAGCCGGCCCGCGAGCCCAGCTTCGCCGCCCGCTTGCTAGCGCAGCGCATCTGCCTGGAACGCGCGGAGGCGAGCCCGCTGGGCGTGGCCGGGAGCGCACGCGTGCTGGACCTGGCCTACGAGAAGCGCGTGAGCGTGCGCTGGAGCGCCGACGGCTAGCGGAGCCAACGCGAGGCGCCCGCGGCCTACGCCGGCCCGGCCCCGCCCCCTCCGCGCGCCGACCGCTTCGCCTTCCGCCTGCCTGCGCCACCCCTCGGAGGCGCCCTGCTTTTCGCCTTACGCTACCGCGTGACGGGTCTGGAGTTCTGCGACAACAACGGTGGCCGTGACTATGCTCTACGTGGGCCCGAGCACCCGGGCAGTGGCGGAGCCCCGGAGCCCCAGGGCTGGATCCATTTTATCTGAGACGTCTGAGGCCGCCGGCGGAAAAACCAAAGGCACCCGGGGGCTGGGAGAGCCC